TTCTCTAACACTCCACCACCAAAAATCAAAACAGAGAAATAAGAGGGGACTTACAATTACAAATTTTCTGCACTCTTGTATCACCTCTGATACAAGAAATTCCATCAATTTCTGTATGGATATTTTTCCTTCTCCTTCAATCACTTTAGACTTGCTAGACCCCTGCTAACTAAAGCCTTTCCTAGCTCAGGTGTCTTGCCCTTATTTGGCATTTGGATAAGCTATACAGATACTCGGCTCAAGTTTCAAACATGTCAAGAAATGAAAACAACGTCTTTGAAGTTCCTAAAGAAAGAGGGTTTTGAAATAACAAGAACAGTCATGCTCCTGGCTCATCTACGTGCCGTGTTCTCGTCCTTACGAGGGGAGGTATTTTTTCAGGGATAGCCATGACCCAGCCCCTGCCAGTGGCCCAAGCCTCATCTTCAGGCTGCGGGCCCTGCTGCCACTCGCCGACCACTGGCCCACGTGGGTCACGAACGCTAGCGGTCGTGCTCAGGCACACAAGATACAGCAGCCTAGCTTCGCTGGGATCTCTGTTCTGCTGCTTTATACTCAGCAGGATCCAGGGCAAACCACGCCTGGGTCTGCAGCTATCTCTTCTGTACAGATGGCTACTGTGGTGGGTTTCACATGATATCCTGTACATTGAAGTATTATTAAGCTGCAAAATGTAGTTAATTTAAGTTTTTACTGAGGGGTTATAAACATAATGATAATTGTCATAAGCAAATGATTTTTCAAAGACCTATGAGTCAATGTTGGGCAATCTAGAGGGAATTTTTCACAGCTTGGCCTGGGGCGAACATTGCCTAATCTTGCCTGATCAGAAGAATCACTTGAAGCATTAAAAAATATGGATTCAAGCAGGTGTGGTGGCGCATGCCTGAATCCCAGTGCTGGGGAGGCTGAAAACAGGAGGAACACTATGAGTCTGAGCTGCGCAGTAAGACCCTGTACCAAATACATAAATGAAAAAAAATATGGATTTAAGTACCTACTCAATATAAAGTATTCAGAAATTTATTTCTTTTTAATTTTCAAGAGCAGAAGTCACCCTCCTTGTAGAGATCAGCCTGCCCTGCATTTCTTATCAGATGGCTGAATTGCCCAGTACCAGGAGATGATGTCAAAGCAGAATTAACAAAGACTCAAAGTGTATTAAGTTCATCTGGTAACCCTGGTCCTGGCATTGATTAATTGCCAAAGAGTCCAAGAGAGGTCGCTAGCACTTGGTTTTCTTGGGATGTTCTACATTAAGTTCATTGTTCAAGTGTACACTGCCTCAGATGTCAGGAAACTTTTATGAACTACAGTCTGAATTATTATTTTTTTACTTTGTCTGATGTTGCTGTCTGTTACCCCAAGTGACACTACTGTAGAGTGATCCAGCTTTCCAGAAATCATTTCACTTTCTGATTGCTCTTGTAAAATGAAAATCATACGCACCCCTCAGAAGTAATGTAAGGAGAAAATGACACGGAGTATGGGGATCATCGTGCTGTTCAGCAATTAAGGACAGCTCGTACCTGAGCTAGTTTGGATTTCGCCTAAGTTTCTCTGCCTCCTTTTAAATTCTCAGGAGTGAGCACCAAGCCCCGTCCTGGGGGTTGCTGAGGATCAGCTCCGGCCGAGCAAGCTTCCGACCCTTTCTGTGCATCCTGAGCCACCCCACTCGCTCCGCCTCTTGGTCACCAGGAATGTCTATCCTAGCATGTCCCAGTGGGAGCAGTGTTGTTGGCATCTGGGACACTGTTGTTTGGGACAATCCTGTCATCTGGGAGGGAGGCTGGGCCTTGGTGACAAGCAAGCGCTGGGCAGACTTCTGAGTGTTCTAAGGCCGTTTCCTGGCATCAAGGCATCAGGGCTTCTCAGGCTCCTGCTGTGGGCTGGGCAGGCCCCTCCTCCCTCATAGGCCTTTCCCCGTGGGCCTGAGCCTGCCAGTGCTCCCACCGGAGGGCCATCGTGCCTCGGCATCTCCTGTGCTCACTGCACACCGTTTCTCCCACTTTGCCATTTGAAGATCTGAAATGATTCCCTCTCACTGCAGGATCAGGGTGAATCCATCAGCGTGGCATGGCAGCGCCCTGGGCTGGTTCCCCATCGATGTCGAGACTGTTTCTCTGTCTGTTTTTGTGCTGGGCACTGCATTCCCACATGCCCTGCCACTGAACTTCACTCCCAGCCACGGCCTCATTGCTTGGCGCTCATCCTGACCTCTTTCGTTTCCGCCAGAGCCCAGCATCTCAACATCTCTTTCCCGCCATGCTAGCCCACACTGATCTCCTGCTTCAGCTTGTTTCCTTAGAAAACCTAGAAACTGCTGTTTATGTTCAGGCAAGAACCAGTACATAAGTCATGCAAGCATTCAGGGAACCAACCTTTGCACCTCTTGGATTCCGCAGAATCCTAAACTCATCCCTCTCCGTGCCTCTCTGCCATTCCTGCATAGTCTTTGAAGCACCAGAAGAAGAGCAGGGATATGTTTTTATTGCCATGGGAGAACCCGTAGCATTCATGGAGGGTCCACAGAGCATCTGCGCTGTTGCTAGTGTCCCAGCTGGTGACAGGGAGCGTGGGGATGTGCTGGATACGCAGCGGAGGGTCAGCCCAGGGCACGGCAGCCGCATCTGCCTTCTGCACTCACTGGACAGAAGGAAAATTCTACAGCTAATGAATAATTCTCTTCTAAAGTGCAGATGAATAAGGTGAGCTCTGCTAACTCCTATCTTAATAGAATTTTATTCCACAGAATTTCAAAATAGGATTTATTCAGGTCATTTAAAAATGTTCTTGGAGCAAGAATTGTACAGCAGAGCTGCAGGAAGCAGGACGTGTACTTAAGGAGGAAAAGTGAAAGAAATGTGTCTCTTCCATTTTCTGCACTTTTTTTCTTAGTGGGGTTCTCATTTTCTCATGCAGGGTTATCTTAGTTACTTCTGAAAGGCTGGCTTTTGGCTAAAAGGCCAGCACAAACAATGGAACCCAAATATTCTGGGAAGGGACATCTCTGACTCCCTTTAGAAGCCCTTTAGACAGCTGTCCCCATGCCACCCACCACATCATGCATTTCTATCAGACCATGCAGGAGAATATGTCTTATAACTTGTGGGTCCTCTTGTGGGGAAAGCAGCGAGAGAAGCACCCACAAATGCGTCTGGAGATCCTGCCTGCACAGTGGTAGTGACTTAAGTGGCTTCCTTCACTCAGCGGTCATGCTGTTGGGACTTAGGCACTACCACCATGCCAGTCAAGTGTTCAGAGGCAGGGTCTCAATATGCAGTTCAGGCTAGCTTTGAACTTAATTGTAGCCCAGGCTGGCCTCAAACTCATAGTGATCCTCTTGCCTCAGCCTCCAGAGGGCTGGGATTACAGGCCTGAGCTACCACGTCCAGCTTCTATCAGGCTCATGTTATAGATGATAAAGCCAAAGCACTGCCCAGAGTACTTGGAGTAAGCTGCAGCCACTGGGGACTGCACGAGTCTGGGTTCAATAAGAGAGCCGTTGGCACTGTACCGTATCTACTGTCTATTGAGGGAGGAGGAAGAGACGCTGAAGGCCACCTCTGTCGCCGCCAGACCAGATGGTGGGACAGACAGGAGGCATCTTATTGGCTGATTGCCCCACTCCTACCCCTTCTCTTTTAAGAAACTGCAGGCCAGAAGACAAAAGGATTTGCCCTGGACCACATCGGTGGCCACGAAACAGCCAGGACCCAGCATGCAGTATCCTTGCTGCATACTACTGCCACTTAGAAACTTTGCCCCTTCAGGGGAGGAGCAACACAGATGTCACATGGGAAGAGGCTAATGAAGTTGAACTGAACACATGTATGTAAGAAAAACAATGTCTCTGAGAGGTTCTCCCTCACATGCCACTTAAAGAACTAACTGGAAAAGGCGGCCTAGAGATGCCTTGGAAGAGCACATCCATGCCCAAGGCTACACGACCCCTCACCTCTGTTTATCTTGCAAACTTACTTTGTTCTTGACAAGATATTGCTGTTACCATGGCAATGGGACTGTAGCTAGGGCGGCGGCCACATGGCTGCTTCTCATCACTCATTTCTTTGCTCTCTGCCTGTTTTCATCCAGGAGGAGGTTTATATATTCTGGTTTTTAAAGTTTTTATGTTTAATGCTATTGATCCTCTACTAGGGGATAAACCAATCTTAAAAATATGTCTCAATTCAAAGGAATGTTCTTGCATGCACAAAACGTCTGTGGATGCATATCTGGCTCACAGAAAGTTAAACACATAAATTGAAAAAATAGGACTATTGTGTTTTTTTTTTCTTTTATTTTAAAAAAGAATTGTACAATGAGGGGAAAATGTAGTGGCACAGGCATCATTACACAAACCGAAGCGTTCCCTGGAGCCTGAGCCATTCTGAAGGACAGGTGCACTCTTAGCTGGAGCATGGCCGACGTCCTTCCAGGCATCTCCTGGGGTCACCCTGATGGGGTGTTTAGGGGTTGGGCTTCAGGGTCCTTGCCCTGAACACAGCTTGGCAGCAGCTCTGGAGAAGCAGTCTGCCACCTCCCAAGGCTACCATACAGGGCACTCGTGAGGCTCCGCCCAGGGGGACACTTGCCCTTAGCACCTGCCATTCAATGTTCAAGCTTGGTTCTCCGGCTTCAAATTTCACTTCAGTCCTTGGAATTTCCTCTTCCTCAAGGCTGGTGATGGCGGTTTGGGAAGCAGTTTTTAACCCCCGGGGAAAGTTCAGCTGAAGCCACAGAATTTGCTGAACTCGGGAGAAGAGGAGCCTGAGGAAGGGAAGTTTGCACTGCAGCAGGAGTTTAGGGGAAGTGTAGGAGGCCGAGGGGTGACACTTCCATCCATTCCTGAGTCTTCTAAATATATACCGTGTCCCTCCCAGTGCCAGCCTGGCTCCAGGGATTCCAGGTGTGCAAGATGACACAGGTGTGGCCTTGAGGGCAAGGTGCCGCAGGTTTGCTCCAAAGAACCTTCTTAGGTGATGGAGAGGTATCGGTGCCGCTGCACATGGCAGTCACGCCACATGCAGGGCCGAGCATCTGAATGCTCTTGGGAAGAAAGACATGAATTTTAAATTTCAATTGAAATTAGTAGCCATGGTGATGGGCTCCGGAATAAAGGCAGCACGGGTGAGGAGGGGCCCAGGGGCCAAAAGGCCTGGATTCAGGCAGGAGGGATCTGGTGCGAAGTGTTCTACTAGTGGGAAGCCAGGCAGGGCTTCTGGGAGCTTGAGACAGGGGCCAACAGAGGTGCTGAGGAAAGGGCCATGGCCTGTGCACTGTGGGGCTGTTCAGTGCGTTCATCAGCCCTGCCTCCCTGCCTTGAATTCTCTTCAGCCCCTCTAAGTTCTTAGAGAAGTCTTCCTTGGCACTGTAGCCTATGTTAAGTTGTGCGTCGGGAATTATGCTCCACAGTCCAGTTATCACGAATGTTGTGTTATCCGGTCTAGTACCCTGGTGCCTGAATGAATTAGAATTAGTAGAATAAGGATGACCAGAGTATTGGGTACTCACATTTTAGTAAGCACTATTAAGAGTAGAATATGTAAGTCACTTAAGTATGAGTTTTCAGGCCCAGCTCATAGGAAAGGCTCTCTTAAACACTGCTACCTTGAATTAAATTTAGAAAAGTAATCTCTGAGTTATGCATGGTGCTATACTCTGGGATGCTGAGGCAGGACGATCTTAAGCTCAAGCCCAGTCCGGGCAACTTGGGGAGCCTCTGCCTTAAAATAGTAGAAAAGTGCTGGGGATGCAGTGGGGTTTGGAGGCCCTAGGTTCAGTCCCCAGTACCCAAAGGAAAGGGGAGGGGGGGGGTAGGAGAGAGGAAAGGAAGTGAAGGAAGAAGTGACGTCTCTGGTAGCGTCCATCCACACACACTATCTGGCTCACGGGTACACCCAGCCACGTTGGTCTTCTGTTTGGCTCGAACATCCACCCGCCACTCCATTCTTCCACCCATAGATGTAGTAGTTCCAGTATCAAAACAATATTGCTTTCACTTTATCCCTAACTTAAACTACCTTTCACTGTCATCTTTGCAGGATTTCATGGAGTCTCAGGACTCCTCAAAATCTCACGTAAACATCTGCTATTGAGCAAGGTCATCAGTGGGACTGCTAACCCGTCACGGACCTGGACCACACACACACATTCTCACTCTAAGCAGAGCGCCCCAAAGCTCAGGGACCTGTGTAGGCGTTCACCTGGCTGGGGGTGAGGGGCTAATGCCCCGGGGACCTTCCACCCTCGCGCAGCACCGAGCGGCGGCGCAATACAGGTCTATGCTGAGATACGGAGAACTCCCTGTTCCTCTCAGGATTCGTATGCTAAAAGTCATGTTTGAATTATTTCACAGAAAAGAGAAGGAAGCTTTCCATTGTGACAAGATGAAAACTGCATAATCAATGCTTTCACTTCCACGACTTGTATGCAAGGCTCTAAGGCTGCCGCTTCTCAAGCAGTTGCGTTCCGGGCTCACCCCAGCCGCTGCGAACGCCCTTCTGTTGCATTCCTGGTCTCACACTGCGCACTACTCCACGAGCTACCTGAAACGCTGCTGGAAACCCCCGTCTCTCATCCTTTCAGAGGTCGAGGGAAAAGTGCGAGATTAACAGACTGCTGCTTGATTCAATTTTCTTCTCAAAAGGGGAAAGTGCATAATAATAATTTACAAGAGAAAGGTCCATCGCGAGAGACAGAATTAGGTTAAGTGGCCCATTAGATTTGATGTAAAAACCCTTAGCAGATGAAAAATCCCTTATCACTTTCAATCAATAAAAGGAGGGTTGCAGGGATCTACCAAAAGTAATTCGGCTTTTGGTTGTTTCAGTGCATAAATACTCCTCCGTGGAAGGATGACCAGCTGTAGCTCCGGCATGTCTTGGTGACACTGTCTTCCCCGGGAGAGCTGGAGGGATTTGCTAAGAGAGGAAGAGTCCCGCATAGACTCCTGCAGCGCCACTGCCAACGCCGCCTCAGAGAAGATTCAGTGCAAAGAATGAAGAACGCTGACTCAGCACTGCGGCTGCGGCCCAGCGGGGGTAGCTTCTGCAGCGGCCCCTGGAGGCTGAACGAATCATCTCCGCGGATAATCAGGAAGGAAATGCTGAAGGCGTCAGGAGGGGTATCTTATGCATATAAAGCAAAATCAAAACGCAAAAGCCAACCTTGACATTGCAATAAAAATCTAAGAAAGCACTTGCCTGGCAAGCGCAAGGGCCTGAGTTCAATCCTGGTTCCGCACAAAAAACAAAACAAAACAAAAATCTAAGAAAACGCATTAATAAAATAGACAAGCATGCTACAAATGGGTTGCCAGAGTTGCTCCCGTAGTGCACGACATGCACCATTGGCTGGGGTTTGCTTTATTGCCGTATAAATCAGTGAGAGCTACAAAGAAGCAGGGCAGAGAGCAAGCCGGCCTATCGTGTGCTCTCTTTAGTCACCCTGCTACTGTTTCTGCCTTTTATGTGGCTTAGAATGAACATCTGCAGGCAGGAAATGCCTCCGGAAGTGTCTGCCTTCTGTTCCCCAGCTCTGCCTGCTCGCAGGTTGCCCTCGCTGAGTAATCCCCAGCCCAACACCGCAGAGAACTGCGAGGCTGTTTCTGCCTTTCCACTCCCTCCTGGATGTTGTCACCATCCCAAAACAGAAATCACGGCCCCAGAGACAGATTGCTGCAGCTTTTTCTTACGTTTACCTTGTAAGCACTTTCTACATCTCTGCCTAAGCTTAGGACTGAGGTCTGTGATTCATAGCTAATATTTGCCTCTGGTTCTTAGCAAATGAGACTTCTGGTCACCCCCGGATTATTCCAAGCAGATAGCACTTGATCCAGTCTGCACTTGGGGCACTTTACTTGCATCTGCTACTTTCCCAAGGGAACTGCGACTGAGAAAGACTTTCTGAGATTGGGCAAAGAGAAGCCTGTAAAGTCTGAAAGTCCAGATCTGGCATGATTAGAAGTGAAGTTACTAGAGGCTTGGTGCTGGAATGTTGACAAGTCCTTTAGGGAGAGATTTGAGACACAGACACCCTACAGCAAGTCATCAATCATCAAAGCAGGTTCAGAGGTTGCGGAGGATAATCAAGACCAATGCCTCCCCAAGTGTAATCAAATTCCACCACAGCCTGAAGCCCGGAATGCTAGGGAGCCTCATCATTCAGGAATGACTCAGGGTAAAATCAGGGAGAAGGCTGCAGTTCCACACATTTCAAACAAAAGCAACTACTTTCATTTGCAGATGGAGAGTCAGGCAAGGCTAACAATGTGGGTCAAGTTGCCATTGAATTTTAATCAATAACCAAGTATCTTTTGTAATTACCACAGTCATTGTTTTAATGTTAATGGGTGCCTTGGAGTTGCTGGGTGGAGCCTGGAGATATTGAGACATGTGTGCTGAATTGCATGAGCATCCCCCAATCTTATTTTCGGCAGCATCAGGACATTTCTGAACAATGGCATAAAGACAAACTTCAAACGCCACTCTGACATGAATTTTCCAAATGTTCCAATTAGAAGATGTGAGTAAATGAGGTTTTTATTGCATCGCCAATTACAGAAATAAAACCAGAAGGCTGCATCTTGAAGTGCACTCAGTGTTCACGTGGGCACACCCTGTTTACATGCGGCATAAAGCAGCACTCAAGTCTGTCCTTCAAGAGTCACAGCAGACCTTGGAGCTGCACAGGCGGGTGCAGTTCATGCATGAACAGAGCTCCAGAGAAAACAACTGACTGGCACCTCAGGTCATAGGAATTGCCATAGGCTTTGTGCAAGGAAACGACAGTAGGGCAGGACATAGGCTTTCTATTAGTACAGTCTGAACACCTACTACTTATTATAGAACTAATGAATTATAAGAAGAAAAGAAAAATGAACTCTTTTAAGTTGCTGCAGGGACACTGAATTTGGTACGGGAGTGGTCGGTCCTGCCTCTTCCAACCTGCACGCTCTGGGATAATGTAGCAGTTTATATCTAAGTCTCAGTTTCCCCTTCTGCAAAACAGGAATAATTAATGTTTGTCTTCTCAGTAGAGCAGGTGTGATAAAAATGTTTTGCTTTTCTATCCAGTCATTAGATCAAAAATGGTATTACTTTTACTGTTGGTACTATTTCTGCTAGTCCTGGCATCGCTGCCAATTCCTTCGCCCATTCTTACTTTAAGAAAGCTTAGCAAAAATAATGCTTCAGTGCTGTTTGGGATCATGCACTCTTGCTGCCCCTGCCACGATGATGGGTCTGGTGTTGTGTTAAGGGCTTTACATCCAGTGTCTCAGAGTGATTCGATGATGGTAAGGCGAAATTATTTTATTATATTTATTATTTAAGTTCCTCATTCCTATTAACTCATCTTACAAATAAGGAAACTCAGAGATATAGAGAGAAAAAAAAATTATAACCAAAATGTAAACTCTGGCGTCAGTACTTTGAGCTGGCACTTCATCCTCCTTCCAACATCCCATGTTTTGGAAACATGACAACATGAATTTCATTGTTTTCCAATGGCATTTCTAGTGCTCAAGCCCAGTAGTGAGCCACGCTTTGCCTTCAGAGCAGAAATGCCTTGTTTGGATGTGCACATTGTTGTCTGGCATGCACACGACCTTCTAGCTTTTCCTCAGTGAGTAGGAGCTTACTCCATTGAATAACAGTCCTGTTATCCATTATGAAAGTTGGTCAGAGACAAAAAGATACTGAGGGTTCAAAAATCTGGACCTTATCTGGGTATTCTAGAACATTCCTACCTATAAGAATGTCTACTTGTAGAATCATTCCTACTTGCTATCTGTAGAGCACCCCAAGTCCCATTTGAAAAATTTCTAATAGTCTTAGAAATGTCACCTTGGGGAACCATGTGGAGTCCACTGCCATGGCGGCATGACCTGCATCTTCTATACATGTCTATATTATGTATCCCAGCAACCCCTGGCCTTGGTTTACTTTTGCTGCTAGGGAGCAATCACGTCAACGTAAGAGCAGGAAAATGCACAGGACAAGTAAAGAATCATAGCATTTGCTGGCTAGAAAGACCGGTGGCCACCATCTGTCCCTCCTTCCTCTCAGACTGGGAAAGCAACGTCCCTCATCACCGCTCCACGGCCATGCATTCAGGGCTCTTACCCGTGCAGTGAAGTCTACAGCCGCCGCTCGGTTCAGCAGCAAAGTGGCTACATTGATATTTCCGTAGTGAGCAGCTATGTGGAGCGGGGTGAAGCCACTCTGTGAAGAGAAGGACACAGAAGAGGTTCAGTCGATTCCTAGCAGCTCCTTGTCTGGTAAGCTGGTGTCACAGCCCTGCCCAGATACAAATGAGGAAGCAAAATATGCTGAGATCCACATTCCGTCCTGTGCTAGCTTTCTATCAGTGCCGGATGCTCACTGGGTTTCTAAGAAACCCCACATTCACGGGCAGAGGACCAGCCGGTACCAATCCCAGGCAGAGACCAACTGATTCATCTTAGCAGTCCAGTACAGTAACTACGTAGAAGCCAACACTGAAAAAGTTTGGTAGGTATGACAAGAAAAATCTTTATAGCCCATGAAAAGCTTGTTTTAGGAGCTCTGTTTGATTACAGATGATAGAATTGGCCACTGAAACTCTTTATCCAAATTCAGTTAGCTTTATATATTCAATATAGATTGAAATTAACCAACAATACATGTCAATTTTAAGGACTAAGGCAATTTTGAGGGCTACAGGTATTACCACAGAATTGATTGTGTTTAATAGGTGATCATATTCCGTGAAGAATCCACAGGCTAATTTCCTTATTAGCAGATGCCTATTCAATTACACATTTTTTCTGGATATTTCTAGGCCATGGTCATTTTACTTCCTTAAAAAGATGCTAAACATGCAGCAATTCACTTAGTCCCCAAAGATTGAAACCTTATAGGAACCAGATGCATCTCTAAGTTGTTCGCAAGCCTCTTAGCCATGCTAGCTGTGTCGCTGGCTCTGGGCGGGGTGGCTCCCACTGGCACCTTCGGAGCCAGCTTTTCCTCTTGCTGACACCACAGAGGGTAAGTGTCATGCAGAACCCTAAAGAATCAGTCCTGGAGGAGTAGAATGACAGGGTTGTCTGCAGCTTTTGGTACAGCTGATAAGCACCTAGGTGTCGAGACTCTCCACCTCTCACAGGTCTACTGCGGTACCCTTCGGGTGCAAGGATCCCTCACACTTCCTTTCATACACCAGGTTCAGCTGCAGAAAGCCCTGGGGATCAAACTACTGTCTGCTCTGGCACATGCTCCGTGGGGCAGGGAAGGAAGCGGGATCTAGCCTACGGGAGGCGATGCAGAGAAGAGGGAAGGAGAGGAGGCAGCGGCACTAAGTCACGGGCAGTGACGATGCAGGGACGGATCACACAGATACGGAGTGAGAGAGCCATATACCTCTGTTGTTCTATTCACCACCATCTAGGTTAACACATTTGGAAGCAAAGAGGAGGAAAAAATGAACGGTTAGTTCACTGTCGGTGACATGGGCTGCAGCAAGCTAAATGGTGAAGCTTGGGGTTGCGGAGGGAAGCTGTGACGGGAGCACAGAGCACAGAGAGAAAGCTCGGCGAGCTGAAGGCAGCAGGTGGCCCAGCCCAGTTGCCACATTTCCTTCTTGGAGACTTTCGGGGAGGACACGTGAGGACAATGGCTGTGGGGCCGTAGCTCCTTCGCTCCTGCACACCTTCCACACAGACCCGCATGGGGCACGCTGCCTGTTGTCTCAGCTACCTAGGACCCAGAGGTTTCACTGTCATACTATTCTCAGCATTGTGTAACTTTCACCCTGGTGTTTGGGCTGCAGTGTTAGACTCGTTCCAAGCATGACACTAGGAAGAAGGAAACCATCAGTTACATGTGAATCAGCTGCTCCTGAGGTATCTCCCCTCTAGCACGCGAGGGCAGCACTCACAGCACCCTCAGGCTGATTTGCAAGTCGAGGGCACCTTCAGCGGGCCGGGTTACACATTTGCACTCCTCTCGGTAAAGCTGAGATCGGGGGCAAGCTTGCCCAGAGGGAAGCCAGGCAACCTTAGAAGCTGCACAGCTAGCTGGGGTGGACGCGTGCGAGGCTTGTGGGCCTGGGCTCACCTTCGACTCCACGTCCGCGTTGTTGTCATTCTGCAGCAGCAGGGCAGCGGCTTTCGTGTCGTCTTTTCGGGCGGCGATGTGAAGAGCCGGAAGACGCACCTTTCCTTTTGTGTCATTTTCTAGCAGGAGCGAAACTACCTGGTCATGACCTTGCTGCAAAGCCACTGCCAGCGGCGTGAAGCCGTCCTGCAAAGAAACGGATGCGTCAAAACCGACCCTAGAGGTGGCTGCTTCTGGACTCCGTCAACAAAGAAGAGGGCAACCGGAGAGCAAGCACTGATTTTTATTTAACGTTATTCAAACTAACAACATATTCAAATAGGCAATAGACACACACTTGACAAGATGTGTGTGTGTCTGTGTATGTGTGTATGTGTGTATGTGTGTGTTAATTCACAAACAAAAAAGTAAGCTATTTGTATACAGGCTTTGAGGCATTGGGTTGGATCCTCAGCGTTGAAAGAAGATTTTGGGTTTTTTTTCTGTTAATAGTAATAATTCTACACTAAGAAGAAATGTTTAAACATTTCAAAAACTCATAAAAGTACTACATAAAAAAATTGGAAGCCACCATAATTTCAGTACACAAAACTTTGGTTCCAGTCAAGCAGAATTTTCAAAGGAGTTTCAATCTGATATAAATGTTGTCACTAATGCTTTAAAGATGCAGTATACTGCCCAGCTCATCGCCTGTCTGGTTCATTATTTTGGCCTGGTGGATGTCTGGGCCACATTAGTATACAGAAATTAATGAGCCATAGTCACTGTTGTTTTAAGAAAGACCCCTATGAAATACTCTCGCTTCTCTGACCAATAATGGCAGATGACATAGTGATCAATCAAAACTTGATTTTATTTATTTGCTTATTTTATGTCTTTTTGAGATCGGGTCCCACGATGAGTTCAGGCTGGCCTTGAACTCATAATGATCCTCTTGCCTCTACCTCCCAAGCCCTGGGATTACAGGTGTGTGCCACTGCACCGGACAGTTTCATCATACACAGACGAGTTTAATTTTACATAATTATGAAATACAAAGTAATAGTAAGATGTACCATTTTGTGTCGCCACTTAGTCAAGTTAATGCAACTGCCCCCTCCAGGGCATTTGGTATTTGTGGCGAAGGCATCGGAAGTTTATTCTCTCAGTCATCACGAGCGGTAGGTATGCTTTGACTATTACAGTCTCTGTGTGCTGCCAGAGCTCCCCGCCAAGTACCTGTTCTTCCTGTGTGAGACTTTGCACATCATCAAAACACAACCCTGCTCTCCCTACTCCCGAGTCTCAGTAGCTACTATTCTGGGAATGAGTATTCTGACTTCCATGAGCTCAAGTAAAAGAATTTAGAAAACATTTGGACCTAGGAGCACACAGACAAACTTCGAGCAGTTTGCATCTTCGCCTCGCAGTTACCTAGAACTCCTCAGACCTTGATAAAGAGGCAGCTTCCCATTTCACGAGGCTGGTTCCTGTGTGTGTGATCCAGTATTTCTGATTATAGAACCAGCAGCACAGGGTGGACTATCCTGACCGGTTCACAGATTTTAACCCTGCACTGCTTTACTACTTTTTTTTTTTAATTTTATTTATTTGTTTGTTTATTTATTTATTTTATTTTGTGTGTGTGTGTGGCCAGCTCAGCCCACCAGGGGGCGGGGCTGGCTGGCATGTGGTGCTGGGGGATTGAACCGCGGTCCCTGTGCTTTGCTTAACTTAGCTTGTTCTAAGTAGGTGCTTTAGACCACTGAGCCATCTCACCAGCCCTGCTTTACTACTGTACACACTAAAGGTTCAAAATTGTGTTTGTTGCTGAATTGGCAAGCAAGTCACTTATTATTTTACTTGGGTCAGGATGCCTTTATCATTTGTAAGGGGGCAGAAGAAAATCTGGTGACTTGCATGCGATAGGCTGTTCTGCAAATGTCACCCTCATCACTATTTTCCTTGGTGGGAAACTGGTAAGTTTTCTTCTAATATGTCTGCAGTATAAATTCTCAGCACTGGAACTAGGAAGCAATAAGCCATGCAAATATTAATTTTGATACTTCCTGTCAAGTGTTCTGCAAAAGAATTGCAATTGTGTCTCAATTTCATCAGTTGTTATGGTGTGTGCCTCATGCAGTCATGCTTCTAGAGTTTGTGGCTGATTCATGAATCCAGTGCTGAGATTATGGGTGTGAGTGCTGCCGGGTTTATGTTTGTGAGTGCTGCTGGGCTGCTGGGTGTGAGTGCTACACCCAGGTCTGAATGTAATGTATGGGGGGGCAGAGAGTCTTGCTTGCTGCCTCTGCTGCCGCTCCCCACTTTGTTTTAGCTGTCTTCTGCCGCCATGAGCTGCTGCCCCCTGACACGTGCCACTCTGCCTTGGAGCCAGCTATATATGAACTGAAACCTCCATACACTGTAAGATAAATAAATCTTTCCTTTCTCAATTTTGAGTGTCAGGTATTTGTCCTAGCAATGACAGGAAAGTAACCAAAACAGCAGTATTATGGAAAAGTAGTTCTGATTTTCTCTTCTCATCTTTTTTTTTGTCATGGACAAAAGATTGGATCTCTTTATTTGATTAATGTGTTCATATTTCCTTGTGGATGAGAACGAAAGCATTTCCGTATATTCATGGCTATTTGCATTTCTCTTGGTGTGACTCTTCACCTTCACTTACTGGTCGCCTTCCCTGGAAGGCAGGGTGTGAAAGCCGAGGAGGCCCTAGGTGACTCGTCCATGCCATGCCCCTGCCATTCAGGACGCACCTCTGCGTAGAAGCGGACTGGCTTTTCCTAAGTAATTGTGCATATGCTGGAACTCACTGTCTTGCATAAAGAATCCTGAGATGTTGGTGCCTATTATTGGCAATACATTTCTACTTAACAATTGATTGCGATGTTCCATAGATTAGTTTAAAAAGCAAATTACAAAAAAAAAAAGAAATCAAGACTTTATTTTTATTTCTAAAGCCATTTCTCTATCCAAGATTGTGCACCCTTTTCAAATGGTATACCACTTTATTTGGTGCTTAAAAAAATCTATGAGTTTTATTTAGCACTATGAATGAAATCTAATTAGCTAGCTTTGGAAATCAACAAACTTAATCATTATAACTAGGCGAAGTTAGATTTGGAAAAAAATGTTTATAATTAATGTTTAGTTGAAAAATTTTCAAAAACAATGGTTCCTTTTGAGAAAAGAGACAAAAAATACTCTTGCATGACAAGCTAAATATTAAAATAACAGCCTAGAGCCAAATATTAAGTGCAGAAAGGTATTTATACAATGGAAGATTTTTAAAGATTAAAAATAGCTTCTAATGTCTTTCATCAAAACTTAGAAAATCATAACACACTAATATACAATCACAGTTGAAATCCCAGTAGGACAAATTTACAACTCCTGGTTTACAAAATGCCTTGTAAGCAGGCAAACTCGGTCATAGCAAGCAGCCACGCGTCTTACCTCTGTGGCCAGGCTCTGGCTGGCACCGTTGTCAAGGAGAAACTTGACAACTTCCAGGTGGTTTTCCTGGGCAGCCATGTACAGTGGTGTGAAGCCATTCTGCAAAACAAGAAATAAAGTGGTGAGCTAGAAATAAACAGTTTCTAGAACCGTTTGCTTTTCCACGGTACCCAGGATATCTGCTCTAAGATGTGCTCACTTGTGATAATTTTCAATAATACTTCAGTGTAGATATTCATATTTCCTAGACAATACCACCTGTATTAAAGAATTCATAATTTAAATACAATGTATTAATTATGCTTCCTAATTCATAATATAAGTGTAGCTCATAACTAATAACCTATAGTTAAGAGTTTTGGTATAATTCATAGCATTTTACATATTTAAGTACATTCATTTAGTCAGTAATCACTGATTGCCTACCATGAGTAAATTTTACTAGATCTATGAAGATAGAGGGAAAATACATTTGACTATAACAGCTCCCAAGCAACAGCTACAGATTTTAAATGAAGATTTAAAATTTGCACAGAAAAGTCAGTATTTGAAAGAGTCCTAGTTTGGGAAGAAATTTCTTTTGATCTTGAACAGCTTCAACCAAAAGAAAGAAGAAAGAAAAGACAGGTTAAAACCAGGGCTTTCTTATAGATAAGTGAACAAACGAACATCTATCTTCCTTCACCAAGAGCTCTTTCTGAAGTCAAAGTTACAGAGGATAGGTTTAGGTTTTTAAGAGCGTAGTGCTTATAGAAAAATTTCAAAATTATCGCTGAAGTATCACTCAGTTAAGTTGGCTCCCAACGCAAGGGCCTGGCAGAGCGCAGGAGGACTAAGAAAACACTGCTCACACAGCTGGCTGCTGGCCCCAGGTGTGCCCACCCACTAGTCCTGAGGTTGCTGTCTGCGGTTGAAGTAGATGCTCTTCTTAGAGACCTATATATTCTAAAGAGTTTTTCTTGCAAAACACACCTTCAAATCATCCACATGCCACATACATATATATTACAATGGCAGAGGAGATGTGTAGCGTTGGGACTACTTAGAAATATTATGAAGAAAAAGCCAAGATGAGATGCCGCCCTGTAATGAGCTCTTTCCCATTGTAGCTTCCCACTTCTTTTTGAGGATTTGCTATCCTAAAGTTTTACCTGAAATCAAGTTTTTTTTTTTTTTTTTTTTTTTTTATTTAGGGAAGGGTCTACAGGGTGTTCAGAGTCTCACTACTAGATTGGACTTGGAGTGATCTGCCTGCTTATAGTCAACCAAGAGCTGGGCTTACAGGCACGTGCGCCACCAGGATCAGTCTCAATTGCTGTCTCAGTGTGCCCCGGAGGCGGGGCGGCACAGCAAGCCCGGGGATTGAACCCTGGGGCCCTGGGGCCCTGGGCCCTGTACCTGCTTGCAGGTGCTTCAATCTGTTGAGCTACTTGGCTAGCCCTGATTTCCTCTTTATCTTTTTCTTCACTTAAGTTTTATTCCTCTGACCCAAATAACATGAGGCCATACAAATCCCACCTGCCAAGAAAAGATCAACAAAACCAGCGTGCAAACACACACACACACACACGCACACACACACACACCCCAAAGCAGGAAACCAGAACACATGTGTCTGTTACAACTGTGCTGAGTGGTGAGGGTCCTCTGACAGGCAGAATCGAATCGTACCAGCATTACCCAGGTCAAAATGTTTTAAGGTATCTGCAATACTGTGTTGTCATTGAACAAACTGTAGCTGTAGTTATTATTTTTTTTGTGTGTGTGTATATCAAATGGATTGGGATAATGGTCAGATTTCAGAAAGGTTATTTTTCTCTTACAAGGAAAAAATATAACAATGTTTTCAAATTAATTTATGAACTTAGGAAATTGCCAAAATAAAATTGGAAAAAAAGGGCACATACTGGTGCCTAAATTGTATTTTCTTTTCTATAACAATAGATTTCATTCAAAGGGCAGAGAACTTAAGATCCAGTGAGTTTGCTGTTTGAAGTCTGATTTTATCTAATACCTTCAATAAATTCTATACTGAATGTTTACAGTTGGTCTCTTACAAGGATATAAAATGGAAGACGTATAATTTTTAGACAGTGCTCAGGCATGCTCCATAACATGCACCAAAACAAAATACAAAGTCTTGTGACTTCATTTAAGAGGTTCAATTTCATCCATGAGAATTTCTCATGCATCTTAAGATCAGCCTTTGTATGTCATGAAGTGCTTTTTAAAATTAAGGTGTCAGGGCACCACTAGATCACCGGTCCATATAGGGCAATTTTTGTGAACCTCAGCTTAGAGATGCGACGTAAAGTTGCTGTGAGCACCTGTCCGGACCGTACTTACGTGGCTGACTTTGTCACTGCGTTAGCTGTTTGAAACCTTTCCATAGCAAACACTGGAAATCGCTGTTGTTGCATCCAGCACAAATTATTAAGAACTTACTAATAATTCTTTATAGTCCCAGTTCAATGAACTCATTTTCCTTCTCAAGTTGTGGTTAAATGATCGTTGGAGTGCTAAGTAATAGATGCAAAAGGTAACTAACTTATTAAGACTTAAGGGGTTGGGAGATAGCTCAGTGGTCTAATTGTCTGCATGACAAGCACAAGGACCTGGGTTTGATTCCCAGTACTACATGTCATGCCGGCCCCAGGCACCAAGCTGGCCACTGAAACTGG